AAATATAAATTTTCGATAAAAGAACCATAAATCAATTATTAACAGTTTAATTATAAATCCAAAATATTTTACTGGCACATCTGAAAAATTAATCGAAAACTTACCATACATATGAAAGGACAACAAAATAAACGATWGTTTCATAAATACGGATTTTATATTATATAATAAGTGGACTTGAGTAATATTATATATTATTTCGCGTCGAACTTCTTTCAGCGCTGGCTGARCGTCATATTCATAAACCCATCCCGTCACTTGCGATGTTCAGTTTGATGGATATAGGTTTCTCAGCCAAKTTGTCAAGCATATCTTTTGTAATTACTACTCAACGTCGTTTTCTGCAAAAGCTCAGGTGTTATGGCGCGAGCCTAGCATTGACACTCTTCATATCCAAAACCTTTTGGATCGATCCATTACAGATGCTGACAAGCTCTGGTATCTCTTTAAAGCCAACTTCGTATTTTCGTTGTTAAGAGAAGTGGACGTGCGGCTTTATTRATTTTATTTCAACAGTAACTGCATAACTGTTTGCATGTATATATGTATAYGGATAAGAAATATTAAAAAAATAAWAAATACTATTCTCTCTATAGCAATTTTCTTTCTCATTCAGGGGTCAATCGTTTATGACGAAATATCGTTTCCTCATCACCGCTGGCATGTTTTACGGTCTGGTGGCAGTTCTCGCAATACCGTCCATACTGCGCGTGCTCATGTGTACACGTCAATCATCCACCTGTTTAACCGCTTTCCGACGCTATATGCGTACAATTTTGCACACGAACACATGGTACGAACATCCAGCGGCGGCAAACTCAAAATTTTGGACTAGTTTACGCGCGGTACGCAAAGCGCATTCCAAGTCGAGTCGCGCATGTAGTAAACTTGGCGCCGGACAAATTACSCAAAAGGATCTCGCCTTGACACAGTTCGGTTTTATCGGCTATGCCACTTTGGGCGCAGCACGCGTACAATTATACGACGAGGAGTATTTGGAAAGTACGACGCACATGTGGCGTGTACTCGGTTATCTGCTTGGCATTAAGGATGAATATAACATTTGTGGTCGCAATTGGGCAGAGACGAAGCATCGGTTCGATATTGTGATGCGACGCGTATATCAGCCAGCTTTAGAGAATACTGGTGAAGACTTTGAGAAAATGACAAAGGCGTTGGTTGAAGGATTGTGGCCATTTAACTCAACATTGTCCACGGCATCAGTATTATATTTCACCAAGCGCCTGACCTATATAAAAGGATATGAATACTTTAGCTTTGACCATCTTCCCGGCGAAACAATTGATCCGAAGCAGAAACTTTATTACTACGATTTGGGCTGGTATGATCGTTTGCTCGTCACATATGGTCTCCTCATAGTGACTTACTTACACAAGTATAGCATAGTTCGTTGTTATCTCAATTTCCGTGTCTGGCTGAATGAAATAGTATTCCACTACTTGCCATTCCTGGCGATCTGGCAGTATGGTATAAACAACTCATACGTTCGTATTTTTACAAAGGATGGTCGAGACAAAGAGTTCGAGTTTCACTTGAAAGCTGACTAAATGAGAGTTTAGATTTTGTAAAAAAAATTATATTAACTTTCTTTATAAATAGTTCGTAGTAGTTTTTAGTTGTTTTCTACTTCTCAAAGGATAATCATAAACGTAAACGTAAACATAAAACAAGTAGTTTTTTTTCATAATTTTAGATAATTCTTTAATTTAATCTCAGTTATCTCAGTTTTATTTAAAAGTACGTGTTTAAGGTGCCGAATACGATGTTGTACCATAGCCCAAAGAGAACATTTGCTGGTCAATCCAGTCTCGCGCCGTCGACACGCTAGCGTACACTGCGGGTACATCATCATTACAGCCAATACCCCAAGACACAATACCGTCCTGTTCGTAACGATTCTCCGCTGGCAAACCAATTGGACATACAAGTGGAGCGCCACCATCACCTTGACAGGTGTCAACACCGCGCTTACCGCCAGCACAAACGAACGAGCGATCCAAAACGAATTTCGGCCCCAAACGTGTACCGCGTAGACGAGTTTGACAACTGCCGAAATCTACAATGGGCAGTGGTATACTTTTCATTATGGCGCTGAAACGTCCAGCCTCACCGAAGACATCCTTACCCCAGCCATTGGCAAAGCATTGGGCACCGGCTAGCGGTGCCGCATTTTGGTTGGGTAAACATACGACATTAATATGATCGGCCAATACAACTGCTTGAGTAAGTACAACTAATGCAAAATTATTGCCAACATTGCGATAATTAAATTTAGGGTGTGTAATGATCCTTTGCACGTTGCGTTCCTGATAGGGCAAACGTTCTTTGGTTGTTTGTGAATCCCACTCACCAGCACGTACGAGGAAACTTGATTCTGCCCGATCAATTACGCAATGTACTGCCGTAAGTACAACTTGTGGGTGTATTAGTGAACCGCTGCAGAAGTAACTATAGTTATTAGCATGCAGCAAAGCCACAGTCCAAGGGAATTCACCAAAACCAGCTTCGTTGTCGACAGCTCCCGTAATATTGAAGTCAATACCACCGACGTTGCGTATGCCGCATCCTTTAGGCCGATTAGGACGTTCTTCCTGCGGTTTCGGTGTGAGACTATCGCGATGCTGATTTTGACTGCCGCAACACACGTCCAGGAAGTGTTCACACACAGGATCGTCGTCGCCGAAGCGTAAGTCGATCAAGCCGAAACCATCGAATTCACCATCCTCAACTGGTGTAGTTTCAGTGCCCGTGCTTGGATCACACATATGATAGGGTACGCAGTTACATGGTGCCTTGCCACTTATCGAGTTGAAGTCTATTTGCGGTTGTACACCAGTTTCGGGGGTAACAACTCTGCCAAACCCTGTGCCGGTGCTTTGTGTGGGCACAGAGGGATTTTGTGAAAAAATATCCTTAATGGTCTTATCCAAGTCAGCATTTTGCGGGGTGGCATGACTGTGCAACAACACGCTTGCCACTATGCTCAGTAATAATGGGCACCGAAACATATCTGCGAATGAAATAATGAAAATGGTTAAGTATAATTTCAGAAAAGTCAGACTAGAGTTTATAAAATGTTTATGTGCAAATGAAAATAGTTAGAAAAGAAAGTTCCATTGGTGACGAAAATGGTTTTTGATAAAGATTCATTCCATTCCAAGCAGGTGACTGGCAGGGATAAACTGCTTGGACAGGAGTTCATTACGCTCCTTAACTGGGGGCATACTGGTCTTACTGTGCACGTGTTCGATGGGAGTGCATCGCTCGACATGTTTGTAGCTTTCTAATCTGCCTTTCACTGCATTCAGTCTTGTAATTTGTCAACAACGTCTTTTCCCCATGTGCTAGCGACTTGAGGATTTTGTTGCGGCTCTGTACGTTAACGATAATCGCGGTAGTATGAGGAGTGAAGCAGCATAGGCTATCAAATGTTACACCTAAAATCTTAGGATTGTACTATTACGGTCAAGTCTGTACTCTTTCGTCGATTTAATGAATATGGTCGCTGTGAGAATATGGTGTAGTGAGACAGAGTATTAGGTTCCGTTCAGTGCGAAAGCAAGAAAGGTCGGAGAGATAGCCGTTTATTTTTAAGCACATGCCATCGATTCCTTTGCTCGACGTAATTATTGTGCAATCATCTGCGTACGAGGTGATAGAAATTCTTTCTGGTTAAGGGACTTTCGAGATATAGAAGTTAAACAGCAATGGGGAGAGGACAGCAACCTGCGGAATCCCCTATTTAATTCTTCTCAATTTAAAGTTTTTACCTCGAAATAGAACGAATGATTGACGACCGCTCAGGTGGTTCATAGTTCACTAAGTTTGTATGGAGCCTTTTGGCGCAGGCAAAGCAACAAAACTCTTCCGCGACCGACGATACGGGGTGCTTCAAGACGTTGCTCCAGTGATGACAATCTTGTTCTAAAACTTACCGATCCAAACGAGGTTAGATCTCCGAAAGTACACCCCTTGGCCGGATAAAACCCCGATCAATTCCGATAATGTAGAACCGGCTATTGTGTAATTGCTTTGTTATAGGGCCCAACACATGAGCGTTGGATCTGTGTGAATTCGTTTCGCCCATACTCGACACACAAATCCATTTTGCTTTCGTTCTTCACACAGTAAACATGTGCCACACGCAAGCGGGAMATTTCTTGGAATTTACTTCTAATGTAGCACTTTTATCCATTTCTTTGTATTTCGTTAATAAGTTATTCCAGCTTTTATTTTTCTCAATTTATTTTAATTTTTTTTTATTTATTACTTTTCGTTTGCCAAATTGCTAATTAATTTTTTATAAGATTAATAAACTCTGATGCGAAATCTTTATTATTGGGGTAGCCTGCTTTAGAAGCTTCAAACAATCGATTTTTTTTTTTTTTTTTTTTTTTAATTTTTTTTTAAATTTTTTTAAGAATATGTCCCCAAAGTCATAGATGGAAATTGTGACCGAGCCTGTAATCGATATATAATACGAGCGCTTGGGCGAAAAGCGAAAACTTTG